GGAAGCGTCGAGATATGAACAGCGTTAAAATATTTGACCAAAATAATTCCCTCTTTCTTTCGCTTCTGTTTAGAATCTTACAATATGATGTCCTGTGGATGTATTTGATTTTTTAAATCATTTCAGAAAAAAAATGTGTTTTTTCGACCAATACCAGTCCAAAAAGCAGAAATAGACTTATTAGTACGCCGTGTAAAGGGATATATATGTATATGTATAATCGTATATAAGCATGTGTCTGTGTTTAATAAAAGATAGGTAGATAGATAGATAGATAGATGTAGAGGCAGAGAGACAAAAAGAAGAAGGAGAGACTCACATAATCCGGAATAAGAGGGAGCTTGTTACGAAAACTTGTCACAAGCAGACGGTGATAATTGGACATAACAAAATAGCTGATAAAAGTCTAAAGTTTCTCTCTCGTGTCTATTGTTATCCTGAAGATGGGGAGGGGGGTTATCATGTTCTCTTCTCTTCCTTTCTTTCTTTCTCTTTCTCTCTCTCTCTCTATCTATCTATCTATCTATCTGTCCATCTATCTATCTCTTTCTCTTTCTCTTTCTTCCTCTTTATCTCTATTTTCTTGCTCTCTCTCTCTCTCTCTCTCCCTCTCTCATACTCTCTCTCTCTTTCTTCCCCCTCCCCCTCCCCCCTCCTCTCTCTCTCTCTCTCTCTTTATCTCTCTTCTTCCCCCCTTCTCTCTCTCTCTCTCTCTCTCTCTCTCTCTCTCTCTCTCTCTTCTCTCTCTCTCTCTCTCTCTCTCTCTCTCTCTCTCTCTCTCTCTTTCTCTTTCTCTCACTTTCTCTCTCTTTCTCTCACTCTCTCTCTCTCTCTCTCTCTCTCTCTCTCTCTCTCTCTCTCTCTCTTTCTCTCTCTCCCTCCCTTTCTCTTTATCTCTCTTTCTTCCCCCCTCCCTTCTCTCTCTCTCTCTCTCTCTCTCTCTCTCTCTCTCTCTCTCTCTCTCTCTCTCTCTCTCTCTCTCTCTCTCTCTCTCTCTCTCTTTCTCTCTCTCTCTCTCTCTCTCTCTCTCTCTCTCTCTCTCTCTCTCTCTCTCTCGCTCTCGCTCTCGCTCTTTCTCTCTATCCCTCCCTCTCTTTCTCTTTCTCTCTCTCTCTCTCTCTCTCTCTCTCTCTCTCTCTCTCTCTCTCTCTCTCTCTCTCTCTCTATTCCTCCCTCTCTTTCTCTCTCTCTCTCTCTCCCTCTCTCTCTCTCTCTCTCTCTCTCTCTCTCTCTCTCTCTCTCTCTCTCTCTCTCTCTCTCTCTCTCTCTCTCTCTCCTCTCTCTGTCTCTCTCTCTCTCTCTTTCTCTCTCTATCTTTTTTTCTCTCCCTCCCTCTCTCTGTCTCTCTGTCTCTCTCTCTCCCTATCTCCTCTCTTTCTTTCTCTCCTTATTCAGCATCATTTCATTTTTTCACATTGTTTTCGTTTTCTGCTCACCTCAGCGAAGGAGAAATTATTTCGATAAATTGACAAATAGAAATGGACTTTTTTAATAATCTGAAATAGCATTAATTGGTCTGTTTGTTATTCCTATATTTGCGAGATGAAACGAGAGCGTAAACAGAGGAAATACTAACTATGCAGATTTCCTGTTTCAGTTCAGAGCGAGACAGAAAGATGAACGAAATCTTTAATTAATGTCTTTAATTCATTTCGCTTCTTGTCCTTTCTCTCTCTCTCTCTCTCTTTCTCTCTCTCTCTCTCTCTCTCTCTCTCTCTCTCTCTCTCTCTCTCTCTCTCTCTCTCTCTCTCTCTCTCTCTCTCTCTCTCTCTCTCTCTCTCTCTCTCTCTCGTCTTCCTTTCCCTCTCATTCTACTTTCTCCGTCCAAAGCGACTTGTTGAGTCTCCGCTAATGTGACCAATGAGGCACGCCCCCGCACGCCGCCCGGGCCAATGAGGCACGCGCGATCCACCCCGCGTCCACCAATCACAGGCCTTCCCGCTGACATGGCTTCGGAAGCTTTCGTTGTCGAAGTGTTCCAAAAGTTTTCGAGGGACGCTCTCTTAATTGGTTTTCGTTTGGCGCGCATGGTTACGAAATGGGTATAAATTCATGGATAATAAGGTGAGATAAGATACTAACCCACAAAAAATATTTAACGCGAGATAACGATGATGTAAAATAAACGGCGCGACGAAAGTTCCCGCCAAAAAAAAGGAAAAAGAAAGGACAGGATGAAACAAGCGCACACACGCGCGCGCACTTGCCTTTGCCAACCAAAGGAATCACAGCTTTCCCCTTAACCTTTGCGGGACGTGACGCTAACTTGTGAAATATCATCCAAAGGGGGGGGCGGGAAGGGGAAAGGGGAAAGGGGGGGATGTATGTGGAGCGAGGGGGGGTTGGGGGGGGAATCACGAAGCTGATACTGGGGGTATGAAGGAAGGAAAGAGTGGGGGGGGGAGGGAAAGAAAGGGAGAAGGGAGGAGGAGGAGGAGGAGGAGGGGTGACGAAAGTTAAGGAGGGAGAGGGGAAAGAAGGAGAACCAGAGAGGGGGGGAGAGAAGGAGGAGGGCCAGAGGGAGCGCCGACCTCCCCCCCCCGCGCAGAAGAGATATTCGGAAAGCGAGACACGCCGGAACCACCTGTAGCGGCCGAGCAACAGTCAGACCAACAGCTCCGCCGTTCCTCTTCCTCCTCTCCCTCCCTCCTCTTGGCTGCTCCCCTGCGACGTCTCCTGCGAAAACGAAGGTCAGTCCTGTCTGCGGAGTCCTAGGCGGGTTTGGAAGTTTGTTTTTCGCTCGTGTTGTAGAGGCAGAGAGAAAGAATCTGTGAGTTTCTGTTATTATGTAGGTATGTGTTTATGTGCATATGTATGTGTATATATTTATATATATATATATATATATATATATATATATATATATATATATATATATATATATATGTATATATATATATATATATATATATATATATATATATATATATATATATATATATGTATATATATATATATATACACACATGTGTGTGTGTGTGTGTGTGTGTGTGTGTGTGTGTGTGTGTGTGTGTGTGTGTGTGTGTGAGTGTATGTGTGTGTATGTGTGTATTTGTGTGTGTATGTAGTTTCATCAACTCATCCATTAAAGCGAAACCTTAAGCCTACACACATTTAAAGAGAAAAATAGAGTTATTCCCTTTACAACTGTCAGATCTTTCCCCTTGTGAAATGTTCAGTGTATTTCAAACAAACCCTTATCCAAAAACAGTCTTTCAAGCGGACAAACAATGCTTTTTGAATCCATTCTAGGACTGGTCTTCCGTAACTCTCGGCCCGTTTTCTTTACTTTAGAATATGTGAGGGGTAACTCATATAAAAAGCTATGGGGGATATTTTACATGTTTGCTTATTTTCTTTTTAAATTTCAACTACGAGCATAACTGAATAAAAGTAATATATGTAACCACAATTCAGAGATGTGTATGTATGTGTGTGTGTCCGTGTTTATCTATCTATCTATCTATACACACACACACACACACACACACACACACACACACACACACACACACACACACACACACATATATATATATATATATATATATATATATATATATATATATATATATATATATATATATATATATATATATATATATATATATGCGCACACACACATGTATCTATGTATAAAAAATAATAATCTTTTAGATATCTTTTGCCTTATGTATGTCGATGTAGATCTTATAGCTATTAATACAACCACATATCATGTACACTTTGATATAAAATTTGAATGACAAGAGAGTCCATATATAAGTGTGCAAATATTAGTCCTATCTAACTTCACTTCTCACTTGAACTGATCCGTGTCTATCTGCTTCTGTCAATAGATCCATGTGTATCCCTCTCCAGGTATCTGTCTATTATTCTGTCTACCACTTTGTGTGTCTATCTGTCGTTATTCTTCCCTTTCTCCTTTCTCTCTTTACTTGTCTGTCTGTGTGTCTATCTGCCTTTTTAACTTTTTCGTTCTTTCTTTTATTGTAGCTTTTTTATCTGCATGTTTATCTATCCATGTCTATTAATATATCTGTCTATCTGTCTTTCGTATCTTATTATCTGTCTACGTATCATATCTCCTTTTTATGCTCTTTCCTCCTTCTTCCAAGAATCTAACCCTATTCTATTTTATTTTATTTTATTTTTTTATTTATTATTATTTTTTTTTAAATACGATTTTACATTCAACATTATACGTAAATTATTCCTTCGCTGCAAGAGTTTCATCTAAAGACAGACAACGAGCGAATGATGACGATACTGTATATACACTGAAGTTCACCATCCGTCTGATTTCCCAGTAAGGAGATTCCATTACTCCGCTGAAGTAAATTAACGGAGTGAATAAACGCATCTGTTGGTACCGGTTATTACGAGAGCGAAGATGATAACTTAAGAAAATATTAAATGAATCGTTACCGGGAGACGAAAAGAAAAGGCAAAATTTTACAACGAGTCGTAGGGAGATAGGTAAAACAATCGAATTCTGGAAATTTTTAGTTGAATTAATAAAAAAAAGGATGCAACGAAATACTACACTATAGGATTCAAAATGCTATAAAAAAAATTGTATGCTAAATCACCAATATACCAAATACTAACAACTCGTTTCAACAATAGCAGACATGACTTGATTTCATAACAGTTATTTAAAGTTCTCGGATCTTTCTGTCTTTAGAAATGCGGAAACAAAAGAAGGAAAATTCAGTGTAACACAAACATCTTATGCCGATTTGTGATCCAACGAAATATGAAAAAAGGTGTGTATGTAGAACACCGTTTTTTCTTGGACAAAAGCAAATTTCCAAAATTATAGACAGTTCACGAGCGTTAATTCAGCACTCTATAAAATAAATAAGTAAATAGATAAATAAATAAACTCTTTCAGAAAGAGATATTATTACTTTTTTTCATTAAATAGTTAACACTTAGGAATACAAGGCCCTAACTTGGCACTCCAATCCTCCATTTGCAGACACAGTGCCAAAAGA